ATCGAATAAAATGCCCTATGGGCTTACATCTTTCCAAGCCAACACTTGGATACCAAAATATGAGTTCTAACTCAATACAAGAAAAGCCCTAGGCTTGAATGTTTACATGTACTAATAAATAAAGACAATTAACTAAAGATAGCCTTCTTCAAAATCCAGAATCTAAATCCTTCCAAGCTAATTCCTTGGAGATAGCTTATCACCTGAACCTGAAAATGATGTTCCCATATAGGGTGAGCCATAGCCCAGTAGAAAGATACTAAACCAAATATAAGCATTGAATAAAGCAATAGCATTCAATAGATGGTTAACCAAGATAACCAATTACATCATTATACAGTTTCATGACACTAATGTCTAAGACACGTTTTACTTTCCAACATTATCAATATGGCTCAGAACCTGGCCAAACTTACAACAATGAAATATATATATCATATTCACATTCTTCCAATGTCAACAAACAAATGAGACTCAAGCTCAAATCAAAATACTTCATACTTCCCATTTGATACACATTTTAGTGCTGTATCAATAAAAACACTTCAATATAAATAAGCACACATAAAAGTGATGCTAATGGAGTCCATCCCCTATCTCCTCCCAAACAAAAATGCATATACAATGTATTAAACACTCGTCATATACAACACACAATCAATACATGTATTTTCTGTATTAATTCAACAGTCTAAATCAATGACTTAACCAATGTGATTAGTTTCAGTTTTTCCTAATCCACATGCAATGTCTACAACAATCACGACTATCCTCCACCGATAGCCCAAAACAGTTATTTCTAAACAGGAAATAAATGTATCAACTAACATAATTCCAACATTCTCATAGGTGAGTGATTAAACTAACCAACTACACCATTTAATCAATAAAGTCATTAATTCCATGAATTCAACTAAATTCCCCAATTTTCCCTGAATTGATTATATAAATTAATTTATTACAACAACTAGGGTTTTCCCGAAAAGATTTAAATTATCCAACTACGCCATTTAATCAATGAATTCCCCAATTCCATGAATTTAACCATATTTCCCCAATTCCATGAATTAATTACACAAATTAATTTATTAATACAACTAGGGTTTTTCCCAAAATTACCAAAGTACCCCCAACATATCAAAATACTACAACTTAGAACAAAACTTATAAGATGGAGTAGGAAATCCCTACCTCGAAGAAAATAACCCGAATGGAGAAGACAGAGATAAATACCCAAATTCCAATGTGCTCCAAATCACTAAATGTTCAGATTAAATGGAAGCCTTCGACTCACTCTATCTTTTTAATAAAGGATCTAAGGTAGAAACTCACTCTAAGTAGAGGGAGAGAGAACTCGTAACTAGGGTTTTGGAATCTGAAAGTGTATGAAAAACTGATCTGAAACACGCTGCTGCCTATTTAAACCTGGCAGGCTCACTCGAGCGAAGACTTGGTCGCTCGAGCGACCAGACACACGAAAACCTCGCTCGAGCGAAGAAAAGCTCGCTCGAGCCAAGAATGCAATGCTTCAGGTCTGCAACCCTAGAGCACGCTCGAGCGACAGAATGCTCGCTCGAGCAAGGAACTCGAAAACATATACCTCGCTCGCTCGAGCGAAGAAAATCTCGCTCGAGCGAATAAGCACTGCCCTCAGGTCTATACCAGACGCAGTCGCTTGCTCGAGCGAAGCAAATCTGAATCAAGCCAGAAGACACAAAAACAAACCTCGCTCGAGCGACCAAATCCTGGCTCGAGCGACCAACCCAAAAATTGGACAGCAATACTTGGTTTACGAACCCAACCAACCTGACACAAACTTGCCCAACACATCCTATAACTCCAAATGAGAAAATAAAGGACGACAACAACAAATATTCAATGACAGAATAAACGGAACCCAAGTCCGGATACAATAATCAAATGGGAAAAGATCGAGGTCGCTATAGTTTGAGTGTTGTTAGATGTTGTCTAGAACTATCCCAAGAGGTTTCCTTGATGTGGCAATAATGTGTTTAATGTATTGATTACGTGGTCTAATGTTCCATAATGCTAAGTCTCTTTGGTGTGTGTGTTTGTTGTTTGGTGGTTTTATGTGTAATCTCTCGTATTGGAACGATTTTTGTTGTGATTTCGATTTGGGGAGGAACTCCAAGTGACGTAGTAAGGTTGTATGGACCAGGTAGTGTGATGTGTAAGTTTGTGTTTGACTCTATCGGTTCTTGTGTGGGTTGAAGTGTTTGGTTGCCATAGGTGTATATGTGAGTTAATCTGAGGATATGAGTTGTGTGCTTTGGCCTTTAGGAGTCCAACTCGGACGTATAGAGGAAGTAATGATGTGCTTTCCATATAGGCATATGTGTGGTGGATTATTTGAAATTAAACGTAGTATGGATTGACTTTGAGGAATTCAGAGTGATTCAATGAACATGTGAGGTTGCGTATGGAACTCCCTCTCGAGTTGATGAATTTGGGCAATATATCGGTGTTGATGTGGAGTTAGGTGGAGTTAAGTGGTATGTTGGTGTTTGGAGGCTAGTATAAGGTTGTTGGCTTAGTATCCTGGTCGGTTGGCATGTAGTCACCTCGGGGATAGAATGGAGTTGGATTTGAAGGTTATGTGATGTAATTGAACAACGCCATAGTGTAGACTATAGGTGTTAAGTCTCGTATAGACAGATGGGAATTGTTGGGAATTTGGGGTAACCGATTTGGAGTTACCAGTGGGGACTTTGGTTTTGTAAGCGCTTTTGCACCATTATGTGATCAGTGACTGTGAAATTTCTTTCTCGTGTTTTGTTGTGTTATTGGCACTTTGAAAATTTCTAGCGATTTTTATCTTAGAAATTTATGTTAGTGTTGTGGTATCACTGTGGGAGTGATGGGTATTGTTGGGTGACCGTGTTGTGGTTCACTAGAGGAATGATAAGAAAACGTTTTTGGGGGAAATAGAGTTCTTTTGGCAGTGTGGCCTTGGACAATTCCATGGAACTAGCACTGTTTTGGTTTTAATCAAAAATGTAAGTTTTTGGTTTAATAAAAAGCTCAATCTAACAAATCATGAAACTAAGGGGAATTTTATGTTTTGAATAACATTTGTGGTTTTTTTTTTTTTTTTTTAAAAAAAAAGATTTTTGAAATCTTTGAGTTTTGTTATGAACGGTTGAAAATGTATTTTGGTTGTAACGGTGCGAGGTTGAGCACCATTTGAGAAAGGAAAGTGATAATGGGGAAAGCGAAATTTTCTTAAATTTGAATGGGTTGTATTTTACCACATATTGTAGAGTTTACGTTGTGATCTAGCTTGAATTGCTAGTTGCGTGTTATATGTTTATTTTGCAAGGACTTAGAATTATTAAGCGTTAATGTACCGTAACATTATTGGTTTAATCGTGTTTTATTTGGCATTCTCGTGTTACGCGAGGGTTGACTGGGAGTTTATGTGCAATTGGTTGTCTTGTTCTCCATGTCTGAACGTTGAGCACTCGATGGTAGTTTGGGTTTTGTCT